CTTCTAATTATGCAAATACATAATTACGTAGCAATTACAGAATATTAGAAGAATCTGTATTACAATTTATGTAAGTGTGACGCAAAATTGTCGAAACACATTTTCGAAACGTGATATTTCACGAGAACGAATGAATTTAACCCCTATCCCCCTCCCCATCGCGAACGCATTCTATCCGAGGTTTTAATTTATTATTTATTCATGGAAAAATAGCGTCGGTGACCAGGGGCCAAAGCTGATTTACAACGTCGAAACTTTCACTAACTCGGAATGTTGTTTCGGAACAAAGCAATCCCTCCTTTCCTTCCCCGGAGGGCCTCCCGCGCCAAAATTTGACCGTTTATTCGCGAGGCCGCGTTCAGGAGTTAAGTTATTATTTTGCAGTAGGGCCCTGGTCCGCAACTGTGCACAATAATAAACGCAGCGCGCTCATAAAGTGCACGGTCGATGCAAACTTTGGAAACAGTGAAACCGTCGAAAACAAAAAAAAAAAAGAAACAGATCGCCGGGGCAAGGGAACGCGTGACATTGGACCATCGACTATTTATATCGGAACGACACGGGTCGGACGATGTAACCGGGGGCGGGAAAAAAAAACACGGAAGATTGAATTGATAGGCAGCATAAAAGACAACATCGAAGAGGCGTTCCATTATCTAAGTCTGTATCTTGGTGATCGTTAACATCGGGGAAGAAAAGACCTGATGAGAAATTGAACAATTTCGGAAGAAAGTAAAGGGTCTGTGCGATGCTGCCCGGGAGTTGTATAATACATGTATATTTGTATATTTATTTTAGTTACATATTACTTAATAAATACGCCGTTGTTTTTGTTATCAAGCAACTAGTAAGACATGTAAAATGTAATTTGTAAATGAAGTGAACCAAGTATTATAGTAAAATTTAATCAAATCGCAAATTGTTAAAGATTTCTTCAAAAAAAATGACCAAAAACTAATTTTCGTATTATTCTATACTGTATTCCTCTTTTACTAGTGGGTAACCATAAAGTAATAATAATATAACGTCCATACTACAGATACCATCATAAAATTACACTAAATTAAAAGTGTGCTCTGATACAAAAGGCGAGGTAAAATTGCTGATAACTTAACTATAAAATGCACTGTGTAAAATTTTACAACGATACTAAATTGAATTCATAATTAAGCTGGAAGCTAAGTATGGTTGAATAAATAACGGAACCATAATACTGTGGTATCGTACAGAGTGAATGTAAAATTGCATTGTTATATATGCACTCTACATCAGAAAAGAAACTGAGAATTGTAATAAATGATCACATAACATGACGTAATGTAGATTCTTTTGTTGGCTTCTCAGTTCTTCTATATTATGGATTGTTGATACATATTTGTATCAGGTAACACGTTTTTCATTGAAGTATTTAAAATTCTGTTAGTACATAACCAGTTTGTTGTTATAAACTATTAAATCTTTTGTTTCTGAGATATAGCAACTTTGAATTATGATATAGACAAACTTATCTAATTTTGAAGGAATAGGTATAATGTTCGCTTTGTGAACGGCAAAATTATGCAGAAGTATCAGAAATCAATCGGGACCTAATAATGTCACTACGCGAACTGTTTACAATGGAAGCCATTGTGTGCATTTAGAACGAAGTACATATTACTGTATATACAAAATTATTCTAACTCGGAAACATAATCATTATGAATATTCATTAAGAATATTTTACTAATTTCAGACACTAGAATTAGCAATTTTGATTAGATATTATTTTATAAAGTATGAATATTATGTTATTTATAATCAACAATTAAACTATTAGTGTTCATGTAAATTCACACTTTGACAGACTACTATACAACAAAAGGAAAATTTTTATAAAATCCCATTGGAACGTTTGCTCTATTACACTTCGAACAATCACACTTACTCTAAGTATTTAAAATTCCCTGTCCAGTGTTTCTACTTTGTTGAAATCGTAATCTCAACGAAGTTAATAAGTACTCATAAAAATATTGTAAAAGGTGTTGACGTCAGAGGTGATTAGAAATTTCCATTTAAATAAGATTATGTAAGGCACAATTCGTTTACACTTTTGAGACAGTTCATTAATCATTGATCGTACTACTGATTCTGCTCTAGATCCTATTAAGACAATACCAGAAACAAGTCTAGAAATCTTAAAACGTAAATATTGCAGTAAAATTATTACACTCAAAAGATTGAACATTTACAATCAAATGATTTCGTTTGTAAATACATCTTCGAAATTTTGGAAACCTTAGCGTAATTAATAAGCTATCCAACGTCCCGACAGTTTCGCGAATTGAACAAAATTGCGCCCGGTACGAATGCAATTTCTCAACCCGAGAAACGATAACTAAGTTAATGAACTGCGTGCGCGCGACTAGGTTCAGGAGATTTGGAAATTAAATCTGAAAATTACGGAATTAACGCTTTGTTTACTGTGATATCCTCGATCGATCAAAGTTCCTATTGGCTACGGTGAAAAAAAAAACCACTGTAGAAGATCGCCGCGTTGTACGACGCGGAATTTCGGGAGGAAAAGTTGCGCCCGGAAGTTTGCGGAATTTTGCAAGCACGTTTAAGTTTCCTCGATATCGCGGCACCTTAAGACAACTATCGAGCTACTCGATGTAATTGAAGCCGCGAAAAACAACAAGCAGTAGATGGTGCTTCTACTTTTCACAGGCAATCATCTGTTAGAGACTCGAAGTGCGACGAGACTCGAAAAAAAATGTGAAGTTTCGCGATCAAAAGAAACGATGAAAGTACTAAGATCTACTGCACACGTATTCCCTTGTGTATTAAAATCTCAATTCATAGAACCATGAATTTCCACTTTGGTAAATTATTGGGTTTAGTACTGTACGTAACGTTCACAATGAAATGGAAAATTACTGAGCAATAATTAAATCACAGGTCAATCGAAGGTGTTTGACTCGAATTATTGTTGAGCGTAACGATTAGAATGTGGATTTTATATATTTTAATTTACATTCATTATTTTAGTTTATTGTTTCTTAAGCAGTAAAATAATTAAATTACAGTTACTAACAATATAAGTATACCTTGGTTTGTAAGGTTTTTCACAGCTGAATACTGTTATATAAGAAACATGATTTCTTGACTTAACAAAGCGAACGACAATTAATCAATTGCTCACGTACATTAAATGAAACGTGCCTGAGCGTAACCGAGTTCGTAAATCTTCTTTGACAAGAACACTGTATAATTCATGCATATGAGTCTTTTGTATTTATTGATTAAAAAACTGTTTCTGTTGTCTAACAAATGTTTATATCTATATGAACTTACGAGGAAATATGTGATTACCTATAACTCCATAGAATATTAAAAGAATTTCGAATAAGGAATTTAAAAGTATACAAAGAATAATTTTAAACCTTGTACTTTAAAAATTTTCAAAACTTATTTTTTCATTTCATTGTCTGTCATTCAGTTAGTTCTATCTAGAAAACGTTTATGTAAAAGTTTCTGTTCAATGTCACTAGAAAGTGTTATATGACAATCGAAAGGTAATACAGCATCACCATACAATATTAAAAAAAATCTTTTTCTTAACCTCAAGAATTATTTTTAACGATTTTTAGAATTCGTAAAAAGCGTCTACTTTCCATTAATGAAACGTTTCCAGGACAGTTCAATAGTAAAAACAATTACGAACAAATCACTGCCACATAGACTTTATCAAAACAAATAATAGTCTGCCAATATTCGTCCGCGAATTCATCCTGAAAGAAATAGAGGCAATTTATTTCACTTATCAATATCAGTTGTGTACAAACTGTGATGCACAACGTATTGACTGATCTGTAATGTTCTCTTATCTTGCTCTTGTTCTTTTGTTCCTTGCTACAGTAGCTAAGTACAGACTGCAACGAAATTCGACGATAATTGGACCAAAGGAGACATAATTCGACAAGTAAAAACTAGTTGGACATGTAGAATAAGATTTGTTTTGTATGACACTTTGCAACAAAAATCGACTTTACAACACTGACTGCAGAATCTACTCATAATAAGTAGAAACAGTGAGTAATGAACAGACACATTGAACAAGTCCTATTAAACGAGTCCTTTAATTTGCCAAAGTGATTAACTCCATAAAATTAATTTTAAATATACAAGATTAAGCACCAATCGAGTGCTTTGGCATTAAAATTTGAAAAAATAAAAACAGTAGAGGAAGTCACTTTGGCCTGTGAACGACTTAAACTGCACACTTTTCTAACATATATGCAAAATCAATTTTTTCAAGAAAAGAAGCTCCATAGAAAACAAAATTTGTTATACATATTCTGTACATTAAATGCATATTCAAATGAAAGGTAAATATGTTTCCACTAGTTATAAAAATAATTTTTAAATATCGAGAAAAATTGGATTCATTGCACATGTTATAAAAAATATATGTGTAAAAAAACCTCTCAGAATATCTCTTTCAGCAAATTGAATGAAAAGTTCAGCTTGAAACACACAGACATCTTTGCCCTGTCGTACTTCCTTGAGATTAAATTTGAATTTTCAAGATCTCTTAAAATTTCGGATTATCATATTATTCGCTCTTAAACTGTTCCCTAAATTGCCCCCCTTTTTAGGTCAGTCCATAGACACATCTCAGTGTCCTGGCGCGCCTTCTTGCCGCCTCGAAATAATTCTAAACAGTGTCCCATTAATCTTAACGTCTCCACCAATTACAAACGCGTTACAATCACTATTAGCAAACCGAAATATTGCCTTGATTATAATTCCTCGCGAACAATCCCGATCACTGCGATCACACTTTCACCAACCTATGGAACCCTGTTTCTCTTGACCACCTGAATCTCCAAGCATCTCCTACACAAACGGGTCACGCAGTAGGAACAATTGCGATCACGAAATATTCACGTTTCACGAAACCGCGAAATACCATCGGGCGAGACATCGAATTAATTTTAAAGAACTGTGCGTGCACCTACCTAGTTGGGCCGTGGGAGCCTGATCTTCCAAGCAGCAAGGGTACGGTAGTGAAGCTTCCGGTACGAAGGCGTTCGTTTACGGTGAATATAATAATATTCGTGAATAATGAGAAAAAAAAACGAGCGGATCACCACGATACAAGTGTACGACGTGAATGACGGACAGATGAAGCACAAAGTGCGCGCACTGGGCTCGGGTTTCTCCTCTTTATACCCTCGAACTTGCACCTGTGCTTGCGCAGATCGGCCTCCTAAGCTACGTCCACTCTCTCTCGGCTCCTTGATCCGGTGGACGCGCGCGAACCACCACGTGTTCCAATCGCGCGTTATATCGATGCCTTCTTCATATTTCAAATCTAATCTTCCACGCCTTTGAGACGTTCCGCGACCCCTGCTGGAAGATTTAGGACCGAATTCCCCGGATTCTGCGTCTTTTTCCGTCCTCCTCCCTTCTTTTCGAATCGTATTTGTTTCGATGAGGAATGGGAAAGGGCATCGGACGATCGTGTGCAGGAAATCGAGTCCTCTATTGTGGCAATGCAGAGTGGTTGAAAAGCCCGAAATTTGCGGAAATATTCATTTTTTCAATGTATGCTTGGAAACAAATTTAATACAGGGGGTGTTACATATAATATTGTAGCTAGTATAATATACAGGCATAGAATGATTCTCTATGAAAAACAATTCGATTCTCTTGAAGAAATGGAATACATTATATTGAACTCGTTGCATATAACCTCTATAGAGTCTTCTGCGATTAATAGTACAACCGAAGAGGAAGTGATTGTACGTGCATGAAAATATCGAAAAGGTAAAATAAATTTTGGTCGTATAAATTTTCGTTATCGAGATAATCGAATTTGAAAATTTATCGACCGCGCGTGCTTTCGAATGCAATTGGCTTGTATGTATGTCTATTACTGACTGTTTCCACTTGAACTGATATAATGGTGTGGTTTTGACTGTTTTCCAGTGATAAAAATTATTTCGCAATTATTGCTTTACGTCAAATTATTATTACATGTTTCTCTTATTGTTTATCAAATAATCAACAATAAACAAACACATGGACTGAGTTGTGCTCAGGAGAAGATTATTGGACGAATTTTCAATTTCAATTTTTTTTAATAGGAACTTGCATATGACACAATTTTATTCGACATTTTTTATTCGTTTTCGCCGACGTAGGTTCGTAAATGCTTCATTAACCTTCTGACGATCCGCATCCGTATCTCTTATGGACTTTTTTAAGCTGCAATTTTTTACACGTCGCATCGCCCGCGTGATTGAGAGACAAGAGTTTTCATTGAAATAATTTGCAATAAATAACACGTAGCTGTAAAATCGTAACAGTAATTCCACAAAGGATTTATATGCGAACTCTTGTTTAAAAAATAAAAGTGATTCTTTATTTAGAATGAATTACAAAACAAACAGTAAAAAGTTTTTGATTTCCCTTGTTATATTTTTTGCAACGATTAACAAAAGGCAATGGAAGCTGCAATTGCAAATAATAAAAAAGTTTATTATTGTAAATAATTTATTTAGATTTGTTCAGTTAACAATCACCTACATCTTTATTCGTTACAATTTCCAAAGAATAAGTATTTCTTTATATAAATAATTACTAAAACAAAGGTTAATTTAAATAACGCCCGATTCTAGTGGGTAAATACAGACCTATGTTTAGTGATTGCTTACGCTGGCCTCGGTTTATATCCATGATACGGATGTCAATCGACGGATCTTCAAGGATAGACCTGCATAAAACTTATGACCCAATACATATAAAGTCACATTTTCTTTGCAATAACATCGATCGCGTTCAAAAGCATTTTTATTCGATCTCCTCGTCAGTTTCATCGATGGCTTCAAAGAGAAAAGTTGTGCAGTGTAATAAATAGTTAGAAGGTATCGATTCTAATGAAAATTCATGAAACCCATGTTATGCAACTCTGCATACATAAGTGTTTTTTTTTTCAAATATTGTGAGTGTACAATCATATAATTATGCATTTATTGACACATAAAGATAACAGCAAAGGCACGTCTAAAAAATAGATATTAAAGTTCATCAATACTAGTCCTCGTGGAATTGAACAACTGCCTTGCTTCTTCTGTAATCTTTATTATTCTGCCATTTTCAAACCGATGACGACAAATACGTGCTGATCCACGGCAGTGCCTTTCCAGCGGTGACAACTTATTATATTCGTTAAACATTTTCCAGTAATTATGATCACCCTGATATCTTTTATAATATGAGAACTTTGGTATCTGATAGCGACCTCCAAACACTAATCAAATTTTACAAAATTACATACATTCATCTTTCAGATACGAGAAATAACACAGGGTGCCCCGATATAATTTTAGGACTTTGATTTTAAGAACTATCCTAATGTATAATTTTATATACTCATTTTTAAAATGATTAGCTTCTGTCATGCCACTCGATATGAACCATGGGGAATTATAAGTTAACGAAAACTTGTTAATAAGCGACAAAGTTATCGTGTATATGTTTACTAAGATCAATCTGCGAACCGGAGATTCGTATATCCAGAACAATAGAACCAGATGGAGCATCAATCGGTTACGCATTGCCGTGATTGATACGTCGACAGACGTACAATAGAACGTCAATTAAACGAACTAATTGGTACCATAACGGGACCGGGCGGATGGCCAAAAATTTTCGGGCGCTTCGGGATCATTCGCGTTTGGACGCTCGACGATCAAAGTAGGTACCTTAGCACTCCCACTGATCAATAATGGCACACTTAATTGTTTATTAGCGCCTGACATATCATAACAGATAGAGATAGAAGCATGCAGTTAATATAAACTAATAAAGATATACTTTAATCTTCAGAAGCTTGTTTTATCCGGTATTTTATCATAAAAAAATCATTTTTAATTGTCAACCAAAAATTGTCTCACATCTGTGTATCCGTTTCGAAATATTAATCTTCGACACCTCCAGTTTTTTTTCATCGTTCTAATCCCTGGTTGTTGCTACAGGTGTTCGTATCCCTGAATTTAACGACAGTACATGACATTGACGAATTCTTAAACCTTATTTATGGTATGATATGCATATTTTTTAGAGAATATTACAGCTTACTAGTCAATACTTGTGCCAACATAATGTTCTAAATGTGTCACAAAATATACATTATCCGAATAAAACAACATACTTTCTCTTCGGTGAAAACAGGTATCCTAATACTTATGGACAGGAGTGTACGTCATCATAGAATTACATTTCGTGACAATGTCTGAACATACACTGTACTTTTATTCGGCACTGTGTAAAAAAGTGTGCAACTACGACCTTCGAATAACGAAGTTAATTGCATCGTTCAGCGATGTGCTTTGTCATCTCGAAACTATCAGTTTGAAGCTCGGAACACGAACGTTCAGAATAGTCTGCATACCTGGAGGCTATGTCGGAGGCCACAGTCTTCAAGATTGGAGTTCACATAGTGGATTTTCTGTGTATACATAATTTCTGTTGAAAAGGTATCATTAACCGGGAGTAATCAGTAAATCCAGAATTGAAATGTTGTCAACGATGCCCGAGGATCGTTCATCCCCTAAAACGGTCCATTCCGAAGGACCTAAAATCCGTGGTTTACGGCACCGTTAAGAATTCCGGGGCGTTTTCCTTATCTGGGACCGTTTCTAGATAGGGCTCGGAACGGCGGGGGTTTCCAAGACCTCTGTATGACATCTCGGGGAACCGATGCTCCCATTTACTGGCTTCCGTCAATCAAACCGCAACTTACCTACACCTTCGATGTGGATTTCATGGGTTTCGTGCACGTCGGTTAACTTGATTTATAAGAGGCATGAATTGCGATCGGTGGATCCGTGTGTGTGTGTGTGTGAGTGTAATACCGCATCTGTTAATTAAGGCTACCCCTTTCGCTCGACGACGATCTCTGGTGAAAAAATTCAAGTTGTTATTCTTATTACGTATGTTGGACTAATAAAAGTAACCAAGATGGTAAATCATTAGTATTATAATTTTTATTAACTGGTAAAAATAAGAAACAAGTGTCTAATTCTTCGTTTTATAGTTGATCGATTTTTGGCTTAATGTGCATTGAATATTGTGTTCGTATATCTTATTTGGAAAATGTGTATTATACGTCTTGTTAATATTATTAAATTCTTCGTTGAATAATTTCAAAAGATCAAAAGTAGATTCAAGCTTTAATTTGCTTTATACTAATGCTAACAAAGTTTTGGTACATTGAATTTCGACAGCTCTTCACCAGTGCACAAGTGAGGCAATACTTTTGGCTGGTAGTGTCATTTCATTTCGATTAATATTCACTGAATTTGTCCGATCATCCGAAATCGCTCAACGGCCACGTAGCTTTTAGCAACACTCGAATAATCTTTCATTCGACATTGCAGTGGGATTTAAGTGGCCGCAAAGGGTGTGACAAATCAGCAGTAGCCAGCCGTACGGAAAGCAAGAAATCGTCGGATTCGATCGGGGATGGCCCGTCCTCGAGCCTACTTCCCGGTCTCGAGACACCCTTACATTTCGTCGCCCCCTCCCCCCCCTTCTCGCAACGTCGACTCAGCAGTCGCACACGTCGACGATTTTTCGAAACTGAAGAATTCCGGCCCGTGGCCACCTTTCGGCCCGGTGAACAGCTGATCCTATCGGGGCTGTCAACAAGCTGAGAGAGACGTGTTTTGCGACCCTACAGCTTAAATAACGTAAGCAACTTTCCTTCTACATTGTCCCCGTCAAGCCTTTATCGCGATCATTCGCTATCAACGGAGAGGAAGAACTGTCTTCAGAGTATTTCCGGTAGCTTGTTACTCGTCTGCCAATCGTGAAATTAAAAGTTAACCAAATCATTAATGAATTTTGGTTTTATATGGTCTGTAATCAGACCAACGTGATTATGGGTTACTTCCAGTACAAACTATACTAACATTATTAATTTCTGGAACGTTATTTAATAAGCTTTTCACGTTAACGAAGGACATATTTATCCGGTTTATCAAACTAACTTCTGTTGGTTCAATGAACATATTCATCGACAACCACACGTTAAAATTTAATATTAATTCATTAAACGGGGTACAGTTATTTACGTAATGCCTCCTTCAAATAAAATAAATACGGACCGC